TTTTTTTTAATGTATTTGGGTGCTCCTGGATTGGGTGCATATATGTTTACCAGAGTTATATCCTCTTGTTGTATCGATCTCTTTAGTATTATAAGGTGGCCTTCTTTATTTCTTGTTATGGCCTTCACTTTGAGGTCTATTTTGTCAGATATAAGTATTGCTACCATGGCTTTTTTTTTTTTCATTTCTATTTGCCTGAAAAATATTTTTTCATCCCTTCACTTTCAGTCTGTGTGAGTTTCTTGTTCTGAGGTGGGTCTCTTGTAGACAGCATATATATGGGTCATGTTTTCTTATCCATTCAGCCACTCGGTGTTTTTTGATTGGAGCAGTTAGGCTATTTACGTTTAAAGTTATTATTGATAAGTACTTGTTTATAGCCATTTTTATTTTTTGTGCCTTGTTCCTTCTTCCCTTTTGTTTTTCTTCTTTTTAAATCAGTCCCTTTAGCATTTCCTGCATTGCTGCCTTGGTATTGATAAACTCCCTTAGCCTTTTTTTGTTTGTGAAGCTCCTGATTTCCCCTTCTATTTTGAATGATAGCCTTGTTGGATAGAGTATTCTTGGATTCAGTCCCTTGCTTTTCATCACTTTGTATACTTCCTTCCATTCCTTTCTAGCCTGATGTGTTTCTGTTGAGAAATCATTTGATAATCTGATGGGAGATCCATTGTAGGTAACTGTCGTCTCTCTCTTGCAGCCTTTAAGATTTTCTCTTTGTCATTAACAGTTGCCATTGTAATTACGGCGTGTCTTGGTGTGGGTCTTTTTGGGTTCGTCTTGGTTGGGACTCTCTGTGTGGCTATTTTTTTCCTCAATTCAGGGAAGTTTTCTTACATTATTTCTTCAAATAGGTTTTCTAACCCTGGCTCCTCTTCTTGTCCTTCTGGTACCCCTATATACGTCTGTTGCTTTGTTTTATTTGTCCCAAAGCTCCCTCAGGCTCTCCTGTCTTTTGATTTTTTTTTTCTCCAATTGCAGTTCAGATTGGGTGTGTTTTGCTTGCCTGTCTTCTAATTTGGTAATTCAGTCTTCCGCTTCTCCTAGTCTACTGTTGAAAACATCCATAATGTGTGTTTTTTTTTAAGTTATATATATATATATATATATATATATATATATATATATATATAAAAAATATATTTTTTATTGATTAAGATATTACATATGTGTCCTTATCCCCATGTTACCCTTTAACCCCCCCCCTCATGCCCTCACCCCCCCGTTGTCCGTGTCCACTGGTTAGGCCTATATGCTTGCATGTAAGTCGGTAGGAGTATCTTTCCCCCTTACCCCCACCCTCCCCTACAAAAACCTCCAAGGCCCGACAGTCCAATCAATGCCTCTCCATCTCTGGATCAGTCCTTGTTCATCCAGTTTATGTTGTTCATTATATCCCACCAAAGGAGTGAGATCATGTAGTATTTATCCTTCTCTGACTGGCTTATTTCACTTAAGCTTTAATGCTCTCCAGTTCCATCCATGCTGTGGCAAATGGTAAAGAGTTCCTTTTTTCTTCTTCCTCCTTCCTCTTCTTAAAGAATACCTTTTCAGCAATTTCCATATAATGCTGGTTTGGTGGTGATGAACTCCTTTAGCTTTTTCTTATCTGTGAAGCTCTTTATCTGACCTTCAATTCTGAATGATAGCTTTGCTGGATAAAGTAATCTTGGTTGTAGGTTCTTGCTATTCATCACTTTGAATATTTCTTGCCACTCTCTTCTGGCCTGCATGGTTTCTGTTGAGAAATCAGCTGACAGTCGTATGGGTACTCCCTTGTAGGTAACTGACTTTTTTTCTCCTGCTGCTTTTAAGATTCTCTCTTTGTCTTTTGCTCTTGGCATTTTAATTATGATGTGTCTTGGTGTGGTCCTCTTTGGATTCCTTTTGTTTGGGGTTCTCTGCGCTTCCTGGACTTGTAAGTCTATTTCTTTCCCCAGGTAGGGGAAGTTTTCTGTCATTATTTCTTCAAATAGGTTTTCAATATCTTGTTCTCTCTCTTCCTTTGGCACCCCTATAATTCTGATGTTGGTACACTTGAAGTTGTCCCAGAGGCTCCTTACACTATCTTCATATTTTTGGATTCTTTTTGCTTTTTGTTTTTCCAGTTGGGTATTTTTTGTTTCTTCGGATTTCAAATCTTTGACTTGATTCTTGGGATCCTCTTGTCTGCTGTTGGATCTCTGTATATTATTCTTTATTTCAGTCAGTGTATGCTTATTTCTAGTTGGTCTTTTTTCATATCCTCCAGGGTCTCACTAAATTTATCGGCGGTTCCAGAAAATTCTTGAAAAACCTTATAAACGTGGTTTTGAACTCTATATCCAGTAGTTTGCTTTCCTCCATTTCTGTCATTTCTGATCTGTTTCTTTGTCTCCGCATTTTTTATGCTTCCCTGTGTTGGTAGAGTGGCTTTGTGTGCTAGGTGTCCTGTAGGGCCCAGTGGCTCAGCTTCCCCAGTTACCTGAGGTGGACATTCTTGGTGCACCCCCTTGTGGGCTTTGTGCACAGTCTTGTTGTAGTTATGCCTTGATTGTTGTAGGTAAAACTGGGGGGAATTGACCTCCAGGCCAATTGGCAGCGAGAATCAGCTGTGTCTGCAGTGGGAGAACTTCTGTGCTGAAGACACCCTTCTGGGGCAAGACTTGCTTCAGTGGGGCTTTGGTGCTCACTGAGTCTGCCCCCTGAGTGTGTCCCTTATGGATCTGAGGAGTTGTAATCTGGATGGTCCCACTCTGACCACTGGGTACACTGGCTCTTGGATCTAAGGAGGTGCTAATTTAGTCTCTGCCTGAGGCTACCCAGCAGGAACTACGAAGAGATCTGCAGATTCCCCTTTCTTTTTTGGGGTTTGGAGGTGCCCAGATGAGGCCCAGCTGTGAAGCAATGCAAGCTGCTGTGGGGCCTTGGGCCTTCTCTTGGAAGTTTTGGGTCTGTCTGGCCCAGCTGCAATTTGTTAGGTAATTTTCAGGTTGCAAAGGGCCAGGGCATTCATATGCAAAAGCTTCTGCCGCAGCCTGGGTGGGGCGGGGTCTCGGAAGCAACAGGGTGGAGCAAGCAGCTATGGCTGATTCTCAGTCCTGCCCTAAGGGGCCCCGTGTCTCAGTGTCCTGGTAATTGCTGCAAGCACCTCTAAGGGAAAGCCGCCCTCAAGACCCGAGTTCTGCCTGCTGCCAGACAGTCCAGTTTCTCCCCGTATGAGTCCTGGGTCCCCAGAGACTTCCCGGAACCGGAGTTCAGAGCAGTCGGGAGCTTGTGACACCCTCCCGATTCAAAAAGACAGCCGCGTCCTCAGGTGCCAGCCCCTTTCCGTGTGCGCGCGCACTCGAGCCTCCTTACCTCTGCACTTTACTTCCTCAGCTCCTCTGAATCTCAGTGTGCTTTTCTCTTTCCTTCTAGTTGTAGAATTTCCACTCAGCCAGCCTTCCTGTAGTTCTGGATGATGTCCGTTTTGTCTTTTCATTGTATTTTTGAAGTTGTTGTGGGAGGCAGCAATTTCCAGTGTTTACCTATGCCGCCATCTTGGTTTTTCCATCCATAATGTTTTTTATTGTAGCAATATCACTCTTTATTTTCTCCTGATTCTTACATAGGTTGTTGATTTTCTCATCCCTCTGGTTTATGAACTGTATGACCCTTATGCAGAAGTCTTTTTTTTCTGACACATTGTATGCCTCCGTTTCATTTAGTTCCTTTTCTGGCTATTCCTCCTTTTCTTTCCTTTGGCGGGGGGCGGGGGGGTTCTTCTGTCTCCCCATTTTTGCTCTCACCAAAGGATCTAGGTGTCGAGTCACGTGGGGCCTGTGGCTGCAGCTGTGTGCTTGGTGGCGGGTTGCCCAGTTGTGGGTGGCAGCTGCTCCTCGGGCGGTTGCGGGTGGTGGCTGCTCCTTGGGCGGTTGTGGGGCGGCTGCTCCTTGTGTGGTTGAGGGGCCACTGCTCCTCGTGTGGTCTTGGGCAGTGGGGCAGCCACTCCTCACGCAGTCTTGGGCAGCTGCTCCTTGAGTGGTAGTCGGGTGGCTCCTCCTTGGGCGGTCACAGGCGGTGGCTGGTCCTTGGGCAGTCATGGGGCTGCTGTTCCTCATGTGGTTACGGGTGGCGGCTGCTCCCTGGGGAGTCCCGGGGTGGCTGCTCCTTGCGCGTTTGCAGGGTGGCTGCTCCTTGGGCCATCGCTGGTGGTGGCTGCTCACAGGTCAGCTGCTCCTCTGGTGGTTGTGGGCTGCCACTGTTCCTCACGTGGTCGCAAGGCGGCTGCTCCTCGTGCTGTCGCGGGTGATGACTGCTCCTTCGGGGGATCACGGGACAGCGGCTGCTCCTTGGGCAGTGGTGGGCAGCAGCTGCTGGTGCGGTCTTGGTGCCCAGGGCTAAAGGGTCTGGTTGGCAGGAGGGGAGCATGCTCCAGAACTCATAGTAGCCCTCAGAGGGGAGGCTGGAGTCCCAGTGTCCGTGGGTTGGCAGCTGAGGCACCAGGTCTCTGGCCAGAGTAGCTGTAGGATCCTGGGTGGTGTCTGAGGGCCCCGTCGGTGCAGGTGAGGCTGGGCTCCCAGTCATAGCAGCTCTCCCCTTCAAGATGGCACAGCCTCTGTGGCAGAGCCAGTGGTCTGGGAGAGATTGCAGCAGTAGCAGAGGCTGCCTGGCTAGGGAAGCCTGGTCCATTAACCCTCGAAGGTCCTGCAAGATCTAGCTGTCCCTCACTCAGACACATACACATATACACACACCACACGTCCACACACTCTCCTTTTGCTCCCTCATTCACACTCTCCCTCACTGCCATCCTTCTGGCCACCATCCTAAATGTTCACTTTTTGTTATTCAATATGAAGTCCTTTTTCTCTCCTGATAACTAGATACAGTATATAAAGAATGTCAAAGGCAGGGTTTGATTTATTGTTTAAAGAATGAACCAATTATAGTTATTTTTGCTTTACACTAGGAATATCTAGGCAAAAAATAAATTAAATGAATAGAATTGAATACAATAGTATGTTTCTGTTTTCCAGTGAAAGCTGGGAAGAATGTGCTCAAAGGGAAACCTGGGAAGAAGCAGCTCTTCACCTGAAAAATGTTCGTTTTGCCTCGGTTGTGAATTCTTTCATTGAGAAGGAGAATTACCATTATGTCACTATACTAATGAAAGGAGAGGTGGATGTGACTCATGATTCAGAACCTAAGAATGTAGAGCCTGAAAAAAATGAAAGTAAGAGAATTATCTATAGTAATGCATTTTTAAATTTAGACAAGTATATCTTCTGGAGGAATATTACATTATGTTGCCACAGAGATTCTCTTCATATAGAGATATAGATATACTTAAGTCCTGGAATCACAAGGATATAACAGGAAAGAGAACTGGTGTCTGAGTTGGTTTGCATTTTGATTCTTCCACTTAGAAATTTGTGATCTTGGAGAAGTTATTATCCTCTATGCCTCTTTTCTCATCTGTGATAATAGTAACTACCTCAGATGGGTTGTTGTAAGGGGAAAATGAGAACATTTAAGAACCTTGTGAGCACAGTAAGTATTCAGTAAATATTAGTTTTATTGTTAGTATTTAATCTTTTTTACAAACTATAATTTTAAGTAAAACATTTAATGTGTCTTTCTCAGTTTTCTCACCTGTGCAAGAGAGGTAATAATTTTTTTTATAGGGAATGATTAACCTGAAAAAACAGTTATGTGTTCCTGTTGTGTTGAATTGAGTGCTCTGGAAATTTTAATGGCAATAACTGATGTTTATTATTTATTCCATGTTAAGCATTCTTCCAAGGGGTTTACATATTTCATCTCTTCAAATCTGATAAAAGGAACTAAAGAGAAAAATATCAAACTTACTGATTATATTATTTTCCATATGTTTATTCAAGTGGTCTCATGTAATGGAAGTATTTAATTTCTTTTCTCTTATGGAAGACTCTTTTCATTCAGTAAACACCCACTGAGAACTGTGTGCTGGACACTGTTCTAGAGAGGCACTAAAGAAACAGTGGTGTATAGAATGAAGTCCCTGACCTCCTGGGATTTACAATTTAGTAGGTGGAAAGGTGGCAAGTTAGCAGATACTTTATAATTGTAACTAGAGGCCCGGTGCACAAAAATTTGTGCACTTGGGGGGAGGGGGGGTCCCTCAGCCCGGCCTGTGCCCTCTCGCAGTCTGGGACCCCTCGGGAGATAACGACCTGCTGGCTTATGCCTGCTCCCGGGTGGCAGAGGGCAGGCCCAATCCCTAGGTGCAGCCCCTGGTCGGGCTCAGAGCAGGGCCGATTGGGGAGTTGGGGCGCCGCCCCCTGTCATGCACAGAGCAGGGCGGATCGGGAGGTTGCGATGCCACCCTCAGTCACGCTCAGGGTACAGCCGATTGGGGGGTTGGGGCACCGCCCCCTGTCACACTCAAGGCAGGGTCGATGGGGAGGTTGCGGCGCCACCCCTGTCACGCACAGAGTAGGTCCAATCAGGGGGTTGGGGCGCTTCCCCCTGTCACTCACAGAGCAGGGCCAATCAGGGGGTTGGGGCGCTGCCCCCTGTCACGCACAGAGCAGGGCCCATCAGGGGGGTTGGGGCTCCGTACCCTGTCACACACAGAGCAGGGTCGATCAGGAGGTTGGGGAGCTCCCCCCTGTCACGCACAGAGCAGGGCCGATCAGGGGGTTGAGGAGCTCCCCCCTGTCACTCACAGAGTAGGGCCGATAGGGGAGTTGGGGCACCGCCCCCTGTCACACACAGAGCAGGGCGGATCAGGGGGTTGGGGCGCCTCACCCTGTCACACTCAGGGCAGGGCCGATGGGGAGGTTATAGCTCTACCCCGTCACACACACAGCAGGGCCCGTGGGGGCGGGGGGGTTGGGGAGCTCCCCCCTATCAGGCACAGAGCAGGGCTGATCAGGGGGTTGGGGCTCCTTCCCCTGTCACGAACAGAGCAGGGCGGATAGGGAGGTTGTGGCCCCACCCCCTGTCACACACAGAGCCGCAGGGCGATCAGGGGGTTTGGGTGCTGCCCCCTGTCACGCTGATTCCGGTGCCGGGAGGCCTCGCGGCTCCGCTGATCCCGGTGCTGGGAGGCATATTACCCTTTTACTATATAGGATAGAGGCCTGGTGCACGGGTGGGGGCCGGCTGGTTTACCCTGAAGGGTGTCCTGGATCAGGGTGGGGGTCCCCACTGGGGTGCCTGGCCAGCCTGGGTGAGGGGATGATGGCTGTTTGCAGCTGGTCACACCCCCTTCAGGGTGGGGGTCCCCACTGGGGTGCCTGGCCAGTCTGGGTCAGGGGCTGAGGGCTGTTTTCAGGCTAGCGGGTGACTTAAGCTCCCAACCGCTCCTTTTTTTCTTTTCTTTTTTTATTCTGGGCCAGCTTTAGCTCTGAGGCTTGGCTCCAGCTCTTAGGCCTCGGCTGCTGAAAGCAGGTATCTGGTTTGTTTGGGTTCTATAATCGAAACACTGTTTCAACTCCAGCTCTGAGATCCCGGCTGGCTGAAAGCAGGGATCTGCGTTTGTTCTATAATTGAAACAATGTTGCGGTCCTGCTGGCTGAAGCCCGGCTCGCTGAAAGCAGGTTTCTGGGGTTTTGTTTAGCTTCTATATTTGTAACAATGTTTCAAACTGCAAGCTCAGAGGCCGGCAGCGGCAGGTGGGGAACGTTGGAGTCCTCCATCACTGAAGCAAGCAAGCCTCATGTTCGCTTCAAGCTGCCTGGCTGCTGGCCGCCATCTTGGCTGGCAGTTAATTTGCATATCGCCCTGATTAGCCAATGGGAAGGGTAGCGGAGTGACACCAATTTGCATGTTTCTCTTTTATTAGTGTAGATGATAAGGAATAAGAAGGAAAAACTGTGTAAGGGTAGTGGTGCATGTGTGCTGTGTTAGGAAGGGCCTTTGAGAAGGGGACGTGTATACAGAGGCTTGGAGGAAGTGATATTTATAGAATGAATAAATCATATCTAACCTGTTTTAGAGATTAATTTGATTGAATGAACAGAAGCAATGTTCTACTCAAAGGTCTATTGCAGGGGTCCTCAAACTTTTTAAACAGGGGGCCAGTTCACTGTCCCTCAGACTGTTGGAGGGCCGTACTATAGTTTAAAAAAAAACTATGAACAAATTCCTATGCACACTGCACATATCTTATTTTGAAGTAAAAAAACAAAACGGGAACAAATACAATATTTGTATTTGCATGTGGCCCGCGGGCCATAGTTTGAGGACCCCTGGTCTATTGAGTCATACAAATTTTTTAAAAAGTAACTATTTGGAATCACCTAAAATGAACTAGCAAAGTCTGAGCTGAGTTGTTTTTACTCACAACACTTTGGACACCAAATACGTGTTTTTCCCCTCATACCAACCAATTCTCCAACTCTCCAAAAATCAACTGGATGGCCTATATCAATTCAGTTCTGACACCATCTATCCAGAGTTGCCATCAGATCCCAAAAGTTAAAGAGCTCAGTACCACAGACTGCCCCACTTCAAACACCATGCAGAAATTACACCTGACTTCCTGTAATTTTGACCACGTAACTGTACATCAGGGGTTCCCATAGCTCCTTCTCAGGTTCAGTAATTTGCCAAAATGGCCCACAGAACTCAGAAAAATGTTTTACTTACATTACCAGTTTCTTATAAAGGATATAACTCAGGAACAGACAAATGGAAGAGATGCATAGGGTGAGGTATCTGGGAGGGGTAAGGAGCTTTCATGCCCTCTCCAGGTGGGCATGCTACCCTCCCAGCATCTTGATGTGTTCACAAAACTGGACGCTCTCCAAACTGAGTTGTGTAAGGTTTTTATGAAGGTTCCATTACATAAGAACTTGTGATTGATTAAATTACCATCTATTGATGATTGTCTCAATCTCCTTTTCCCTCCCCTAAGGTAGGGCTGAAAGTTCCAACCCTCTAATTAAGCCTTGGTCTTTCTGGTGACTAGCCCCATCCTGAAGCTATCTAGGGGCCCCCAGCTACCAGTCATCTTATTAGCATAAACTTATGGTTGAAAGGGGTATTTTATGGATAACAAAGATGATTCTCTCATCTCTGTCACTCAGGAAATTACAAAGGGTTTAGGAACTCTGTGCCAGGAAAAAGGGATGAAGACCAAATATATATATTTCTTATATCACTTATCACACTAAGAAACGCCTCAAAAGTATCCAGAGGTATTCAGTTGGCCTAGGATAAATTTTTCATGCCTAAAGAAGTGGAAGGCTGCCTGGCCAGCATGGCTCAGTGGTTGAATGTCAACCTATGAACCAGGAGGTCATGGTTCAATTCCCGGTCAGGGCACATGCCCGGGTTGCGGGCTTGGTCCCCAGTAGGAGGTGTGCAGGAGGCAGCTGATCAGTGATTGTCTCTCATCATTGATATTTCTATCTCTCCCTCTTCCTTCCTCTCTGAAATCAATAAAAAATAAAAAAAAATAAAAAGAAGTGGAAGGCAGGAGAAGTAAGTAAGAAGTGGCTCAGTGGGTTCATTGGGGGTATTCTCTACAAGTCCCTATTATCTTTCACATCCCTAATTATCCCACATAAAATGAAGAACTGGAGAGGGGAGGGCTCAGAACAATAATAGTGGAAACAAAAACCAGTAGTCTTGACACTCTGAAGCTGTAGGGAGAAGCAGTTAATTGGCTCCTTAGTATTACATTTAAATTTATATATGCATATTTCCATTTTAGTTCTTTTGGTAGGACTCAATTTACTTTTTTTGAAGAAAAATATATTACATAACCTGGCCAGCATGGTTCAGTGGTTGAGTGACGACATATGAACAAGGATTATGGTTCTATTCCTGGTCAGGGCACATACCTGGATTGCGGGCTTGATCTCTGGTGGGGGTGGGGTGGTGCAGGAGGCAGCCAATCAATGATTCTCCCTCATCGATGTTTCTATCTCTCCCTTCCTCTCTCTGAGATAAATAAAAACATAAAAATTTTAAAAAATACTACATATAACTACATTTAAAAAAATTAGTTTTGAGGTATAATTTATTCAGGTAATAAGCACTGATTATTATTATTTTAAGATTAGAGGCCTGGTGCACAAGATTCGTGCACTCGGGGCAGGGTGTCCCTCAGCCCGGATTGCGAGAGGGCGCAGGCCAGGCCGAGGGACTCACTGGTGCATGATCAGGGCTGGGGAGGGACACGGGAGGGCTCCAGGGCGTGCCCGGCCCATCTTGCTCAGTCCCGATCGGCCAGACCCCAGCAGCAAGCTAACCTACCGGTCAAAGTGTCTGTCCCCTGGTGGTCAGTGCATGTCATAGTAACTGGTCGACCAGTTGACTGTCTGCCCCCTGGTGGTCAGTGCACATCATAGCAAGCAGTTGAGCGGTCTTAGCATATTACACTCTGATTGGTTGAATGGCTGACTGGACGACCAGACACTTAGCATATTAGGCTTTTATTATATACGACTAGAGGTCTGGTGCATGAAATTCATGCACTGTGGGGGGGCCCTCAGTCTGGCCTGCACTCTCTTGCAGTCCAGGACCCCCCCCCCCCACCCAATGGGGAGCGGGCCTAAGCCGGCAGTCAGACATCCCTCTTACAGTCCAGGACCTTCACTCCTTACCGCCTGCCTTCTCACTTCTCCTTACCACTTGGCTTGCTGCTCCTTAGTGCTGCCATGGTGGTGGGAGAGGCTCCTGCCACTGCCGCTGCACTCTCCAGGTGTGAGCCCGGCTTCTGGCTGAGGGACGCTCCCCCTGTGGGAGCGCACTGACCACCAGGGGGTAGCTCCTGCATTGAGCGTCTGTTCCCTGGTGGTCAGTGCACATCATAGTGACCAGTCGTTCTGGTCGTTCAGCCGTAACGGTCGCTTAGGCTTTTATTATATAGATAGGACCCTCAACATTTTATTTTTATCTTTTCCATGGACAAACTGTCCTGAGATTAGAAGAGAAAAATATGATGAAATATGATGAAATAGGTGTGTGTGTTTTTTATACTTAGTATCCTTCACAAGAAGCAGATATAGAAGCCATTTATTAGTAGAGAAGTTATTGAGGATAAAGCAGCAAAGTCACCGACTACCACAGCCTTTAGTCACAAGTGTCATTCACCCTGCTGGCCCTCTATCCATTTTTCAGTAGTTCTCCTGCCCTTTCTGGCCTTTGGAGGGATTTGAGTTGGCAAATCCTGGTTCAAATAATAACTTCTCATCTTGCTCTTCTGAGTTGCAGGCTTATATTTCTAGTTGCCTTCTAGGTATCTTTCACTAATGCGCAGAAGGTATCTCGAATTTAGCTCAACAATTCAACTTCAAATCATACTTTTCTTCCTTTAATAACTTTGAATCTATAAAGAACAGACATTTTGGCTCATTCATCTTTGACTCTTCCAGGCCTGACACTATGCCTGGCTTGTAATCAGTGCTAGAATATGTTGAAGAAAGGAACAAAGGAATGAATATGCAAGCAAACCTCTTCCTGTGAGGTTCTCTAATACAGTATCTAGATTGGCCTACTTTTTTTTTTAAACATTTTTTTTTATCCTCACCCCAGGATATGTTTATTGATTTTAGAAAGAGAGGAGGTAGGGAGAGGAGAGAGAGAGAGAGAGAACCATTGATGTGAGAAACATACATAACACCAGGATCAAATGCGCAACCTAGGTATGTGCACTGACTGGGAATGGAACTCGCAACATTTTGGTGTACAGGACCATGCTTCAACTGGAGCCACCTGGCGAGGGCCTCCTTTTTAAATGACTTCTAAAAAATTACTATTCTACTTTGTTACTATATTACTGTATGTATTCTTACCCCCTAAAGTACAGTGATTTTAAGTAGTTTATATATATTTGTTTCTTTTTATTCATTTATATAACCTTTTGAACTTGTCCGCCTTTATTTTGTTGAGTCTCTGACATGCTAGTAAGCTCAAATCAAGCGGTGTGATTTTATAAGCCCCAAGGTTACTAGCATCAAATCAGAGTTGATCAGAAACACTTGTTCCTCTTTGCATCTCTTAGTAATAATATAGCAGAAATTATTTTCACTTTTTTCCCAGTTGCAACCTAACCAAGGTGCAATGCTTGGTGAGTCTTTATTTTATTTATAATGTAGAGATACAGTCTCTGTCCAATGTTTATCAGGTCCTGGATCTAGATGTCCTGCTTCAATTTACCAATTACTGCATCTTTTCTCCAACCATCTGATCATCATTAGGAGGGTCATCCAGATACTTTTCTAGGAGATAGGATACACTTAACAGACAGCTCTCTTGAGACTCAGTTAATTTAGCATCTTGCAACACTTTGTTGAGCAATATCTATCTATCTCTCTCTCCCTGCTCCCCTCCTGTCTCTGTTAGTATGTGCTCACATTTGCTAATTAGCCCTTCCTGAACTTATTCCAATTTCATGGATTATCTGTTCCCTGCCTTCCCAGAGTAAAACTACATATTCTATTTATAGCCAGAGAAATAGTTAGTGGAAGAAACAGTACTTATACATAGCTATATTCACGTATTTATAAAGAAACTTATTTAGAACATGGAGTATACATCTTACTATCATGATCCTATATAATAAAAGGGTGATATGCAAATTGTCCCCTCAACCAGGAGTTTAACCGGGAGTTCAACCAGGAGGCGGGGCAGGCCGGCCAACTGCACGTGGCCCCTCCCCCTAGCCAGCCCAGCCCAATCAGGGCAGTCAGGCCGGACCCCACCTGTGCACGAATTCTTGCACCGGGCCTCTAGTATTTATATATTCACCTATCATGAGCATCTGTGCTTTTATGTTACTTAAATAAAAGAAAGTGCCATTCCCTAGAATATTTTTTTCTAGGATTTCATGTGTTTTACAACAGACACTGTTAAATCTTTCTTGCTAAAATAGATTTAAAAAAAATGAGTCCTCTCTATATTTGTCTTTCAATCTTAAGATATACCATGGCACAGAATATTTTTTATTCTCTGTATAGTTTCCATTACTTTTTTAAGAGATGGAGGAGAACTTAGAAATTCTGTAATCTACCTTATGTTATAGGTGAGGAAACTGGTATATTTTAATGTAGTGTACCCTATATCAAGTTCTGTGCATTTTGTTTAGCCAGATATTTAAATGAAAATTGAATTATACTAAATCTGGATTTTACCACAATGTGGACCTTGTAAACTTGGCTTCATGTTCAAATAATGGCATATTTGAAATGATTACATTTTCTTTTTAAGATTATTTGCATAGCATCACTATTGTACTTTCTTTTATTGGTAGGCGATTATTTTTAAATTTAATTAATTTTTAAAGTATAGGTTAACTTGCCAAAATAAATAACCTTTGTTTCCTTTCAAATTAAGTAAGTTGATTCGGTATCTTTCTTTTTTTAGGTTGGGAGTGGGTTCTTTGGGAAGAATTTCCTCCACTGGACCAGCTTTTCTGGGCCCTACGTTGTTTAAAGGAACAAGGTTACGATCCATTTAAGGAAGATTTGGATCATCTGGTAGGATATAAAGGAAATCATCTCTGGAAGAACAAGATTACCTGATTTAAAAAAAAAAAAGACAAAATAAGATCCAGAGAATGAAAAATACCTGTAGTTCAGAACAACTCCATTTTATCTAAAAAGTTCCATATCATTACCAGTTTATTTTCAGTCTCTTAATATGCCTACCACCCTTTCAGCCAGTACTTACGAAAAATTTCCTGGGATTATAATTTATATTCCAGACTCAGAAAATGTATTAAATGGTGATATTGTGATCAATCTGCTTTCTGTATTTCACTATGATATTTTCTGTGTAGTTTGTCATTATCAGCTTGCATGGAGTGCGATAGAATTTGCCTTAGTGTTTCAGTTCAAATAGAGATCCTAATTCAGATGCTAACACTATATGCCTGTAGTAGAATATATCATGTTTGTTGATTTTTCTCTTCTGTTTTATCTAACACAAAAGATTTTTGGTAATATATTGTGATAGTCCTTTAAACTAGAGTGAACAGGACAGGTTATTAGGGTATATTTCCTAGGTTTCTGATTGGGAACCTAAATCAAGAGAAGTGAGAACAACCTCCTAGGATATGTATTCTATCATTAGCAAGCCATCTAATTTTGGATTTCTCTCTTAATCTCTGTGAGATCCAGTATCCTTATATGTAAAATAGGGAGATTAGACTAGAGCAGTGGTTCTCAAATGTGATTTGGGGAAGTCCTTGAGCCCTTTGAAGGATACTCAAGAGCCAAGCTGTTTTTTTAATACTAAGACATGACTTGCCTTTTTTACTCTCCTTCTTTCCTGAGTGTTCAGAGGAGTTTTCTCAGTGCTTCGTGATTTGTGCTAACAGACTGAATGCAAGAGCAGATAGGAGAATCCAGCTCTCTTCTATTAAACCAGATATTAAAGACATTTCCAAAAATATAAGACAGTGCCATTCTTCTCACCTTTTTTGTTTGTTTGTTTTAGAAAATGTTATTTTTCATAAGTTATTTAACATTTGATGGGTTTTATTTGTAAATGAATTAATAACATTTAAAAAATATTTCCAGTTTTAATTCCTAATATGATAAATGTCACTGATAAAATCCTACAAAAACCAAAACTCTTTGGGGTACTCAGTCATTTTTAAGAATATAAAGGGATTCAAATAAAAAAGTTTAAGAACTGCTGGATTAGATCACAAGTTTAGTTCTTTTTCTTTATGAGCCCACTTCTGTAAAATCACATGCTTCTTTTAGAGCTGGTTACATTTGAATTTTTCCCTTTAAAAAGACTCAAGTATTACTATAATACATGCTACAAAAGAGTCTCTCCAATAATTGGATATCATTTTTTAAGTTCTTAATTGTTTGCTTTTGCAAAATTATATGTACATTGTATAATTCACCACTTAGAAATTTCATTTTCTATTAATTTTCACATACTTTTCTTGATATTAGAATGTTTGAGGAGCTCAACTATAATAAGTGTATATTCCTTGAACTTCAGATAAACTGGTGAATGTCACACAGTTTTCTGCTCCTATTTGATTACTCCATATCCTTCTGTGGCTTGCTCATTATTTTTACTCCCTTCTTCAATTGACTTAATCCCTGTCCCTGGCTTCTTCCTGCATGGTAGACATGTGAGGCTAGATAAGAAGAACCCAGACAAGTCCTATGGATGAAACTCTACCATAGGTTTATTTCAAATGTAGTTGGTTGGAAATTTATTGAGATATCTATTTATGCTGTACTTTTAAAAAAAATTCTTTATTGTTGGAAGTATTACATATTTCTCCACTTCTTTTCCCCCATTGACCTCTCCCCACCTGCTCCTGCCCCCCAGCACATGCCCTCATCCCCTTACTATGCTGTACTTTTCTAAGCAGATATTTTATAGCTTCAAAACCTTGTCATAAACCTATAGAGTTTTACCCGGTCTTCTACTTTAAATTTTTAGTAGATAGAATGAGGAACTTGGGAGGTTTTTATTTATTTATTTATTTTTAACCCAACTAGACATGAAGGTTTATTACAATGGAAAGGAAAAACTAACCCAAACTCTTATTTAAAGGAAAAAAAAAGATAAGAGTTTTATATTAGAAGGGAATTGCATTTACCTCAACATCTAATATTCTCAGTTGGTATCCAGTAATCACTTGGTAAATATTTCTGTAAATGAGTGAATGAATGGAGCAGGATTTAGAACTCTTAAGTAAACAGTTAACTATTAGATGGTTTGAGAATTTCCTTTATTAGAAAAAACCAATGCTGACTACTAGCGATGTTCACATAAAATTAAATGTCAGCTGGAGTTCCTGAAGTATACCTCATTCTGCCAGGACACTGGGGAGTCTGAAAGACCTCTTCATCTATTTGCTAAATCAAGCGCTGAGATGGCCTCTATCCTAAGATAGGCAAGTGCTCCAGTACTCACTCTGGCTACATCCTAGCAAAAGGCATCCTAGTGGAGCATGATGTGAATGCAGCCTCCCTTAGATCTCCTTGAAAGAGAAACTCTGTGATCTTTACTGCCAGCTTTCCAAATAAGCCAAATACTTTCAAAAGAAATATTTCCTTCTTTGAAGCACCAAGGGCCATGTTAGTCCAGGATTGTGGAGAAGTAAAGCTCAGGGAGTCATCCATAAAACAGATGGATGAAAAAAAACATTGTCTTCTTCCAACATAAAATCACATGTTGACACTGCCTCTGTATTTTATGTTAAATATTTATTTTATCTATGCTGTACATAGAAGTCAGTACTGCATGTAAGTAGTGTTTATGAAAAATGCAAGTTAATGATAACAGTACCCATTGCTTAAAGGTGTTTACCAAGCTTCCCATTTTATGGACTCCAAGAAACTAAATATGGAAGTTCATACTTAAGGTCCTCCATAAACATTTATTTTGCATCTACTGTGTGCCAAGCACTATGATAGGTGGTTAATAATATTTATACTGTAAGTTAAACCCATCATACTTACTTAATCCAGCAAATTTTCATTCTAGATTTCCCTGTATTTTTATGTTTGAAATGTTTCAGTATTTAGCTTTTTGCATAATATTGCTTAATAGCTTAAGATGCAATGATATATCACTCATCTTATTTTTCAGAACAATTTATGGGCAAAGGAACAAAGTAGGAAGCAAGCGCAGCTTGTAACCAGCTTCAGTTTGACCTGATATTCCTGTCCTCTATTCTTTCTTCTTTGCAGACTTACTTTTCACCTATTCTTTGATGACTCTCCAAACAACATTACCTATAGCTCAGACTTTTTTTCTAAGCTCCAGACCCAATCACACACCAGTCATCTCTACCTGAGATTTCCCATGTCCTTCTAACTTGATATATTTCATACTGCATTTCCTTTCAGGGAATGACTTTACCATCTGCTGAGTTGCTCAAATTTACATTCCCTTTCCCCACATGCAGCAGTCACTCTGTCTTCTCCCTTCTATTTCTTTCGTTTTTTTTTTCTTTTTTAAAAATATATATTTTATTGACTTTTTACAGAGAGGAAGGGAAAGGGATAGAGAGTTAGAAACATCGATGAGAGAGAAACATTGATCAGCTGCCTCCTGCTGGGGATGTGCCCGCAACCAAGGTACATGCCCTTGACCGGAATCGAACCTGGGACTCTTCAGTCTGTAGGCCAACGCTCTATCCACTGAGCCAAACCGGTTAGGGCCCTTCTATTTCTTTGATATCTGTCGAATCCATCCCCATTACATTGTCCCAGCTGCCTCTCCCCTGGTCCAGATCTTCATTATTTATTTTATTATTTTGCAGACTGTTCCTGCATCTTTACCATTCTTTAACTGATTGACATAAAATATACATAACAAAATTTACCACCTTAATCCTCTGACTTATTTTTGACATTACTCCTAAGAGTGACTTTTCAAAGACATAAATTTGGTCATGTCTATTCAAATTTCTTTTGGAGTTCCCCATCACCTGTAGGATAAAATTCTTAACCTGACAAAGTCTTTCATAATTTCCCTAGACTGACTTTCCCATCACACCTCCATCACTTTCCCACACACTACACTCAGGCATATTTTCTTGTGCTTCCTCAAGTGTACCATGCTGCTTTATGCCTTCTTTCTGGAGTGTCTGTAGCTCCTTCTGAACTGAATGTCACCCATACTCTCAATCTGCCTTAGCAGAGCCTTACTAGTTTTCATACCTCACTTCAGTGGTTCCTTCCTCTGTAATGCCTGGAGTTTTTCATCCCCATGCTTTCTCCCACCTCATTAATCTACCACCAGTGTGTCCCATATATCTTCCTTAGCTCTTCTTTATTCATGTATAAAATAAGCTGCAGATTCTCATCCAAGATGGCAGAGTAGGGGAAAGCTGCATTCGGTTCTAGGACCACTTCAAAATTACAACTAAATTATAGAACAATCAATCTGGATAACCATCTGAAGACTAGCTGAACAGAAGTCATGTAACTACAGTATATACAGAAGAAGCTATGTTGAGATTGGTAGGAGGGGCAGAGTTGTGAAATGGGCTGACCCCACACCCATGTGTGGCAGTTGAGAATTTGGAAGGTTATCGCCGCTGCAGAGGTCCCCCCTGAGGAGTGATGAGTCTCAGTCCTAGGTGGGCTCTGCAACTCAAAACACTGGTGCTGGGAAGACGAGCCCACATAACATCTGGCTGTGAAAATCAGTGGGGATTCTATCTGCCCAGGTGAGATGGAAGGCTACTAGAAAACCAGGTATCACCTTAAAGGGATAGCCCAGGAACTTGCAGCCACTCACCCTCAGCGCCGACATCAGCTTGGAGCAGTGCCAGATTCACAAGGAGAAACTTGAGTGATGTGCTTTCAGAGCAAGGGCTGGAGAGAGAGCCTCCAGTGACACTGTGTTGACTCCTCCTCACTCATGGCCCATGGGCACAATCTTTCCTGGTTTGAGCACTTCCCCCACACAGCATTAGACTGGTGAGGCACACTAGCTCCACCCTGACAACTCCCTGCGTCTCTGCATTACTATATTCCCACACAGCCAAAGGCCCTGTCAGCAGGAATCAGTCTGGGTCCACATTTCAGTCTTTTAAAAAAAACTCATGAATTCTGGTCAATGGCATGGGGGTGCCAGAACCACACAGGGAAAAACTTGAGTTGTGTGGCTTTAGTTGCCCTACCCATCTTCTCACATGGCTGATAGGTGCCACATTTCCTGTGTTGAGCCCTCCCACCACATGGCCAAATCTAATCTCCTATAGCTTGGTGAACTCTACTAACTCCACCCTTAGACCCCATCTCACCACAAAGATCTTCAGGCCCCAGGCAGTTGCCTTGGTGAACTTGAGAATTTTTCTGAGTGGCCTCAGTCCCAGCACTGGTGCTGAGTTTGAGTCTGTATTAACCTGGTGAACACTACTCATTCCTACCTGGTGAATAATTCCTTGAGGACCTGCCTCATGCATGCAACTCGTGTACTATCTGAGGCTTTCAGTGGGTAAGCCTAATAGGCAGCCAGCATGCAGCAGTGGGTCTCAGGGTGCCTTGGGTTTTTGCTAACTTGCTCCAGGCCCAGTACTGGTGGTAGCTGGCCTTGGTTCCAAGCTGAGCCCCTCCTAACCATGAACTGGTCACAGGCAGCATCTAAAATTGACCTGCATCAGAGTCCTTCCCAAGAAGCTCCAGAACCAAAACACCTGAGGTCTGGCTTCAGACCACAATAGAACACCACCCAATTATCTCCACAAGTGGCATACCCTAAGGGAGGCCTCAACAGGCAACAGACCGTACTGTGGCAAATTCTGATTTTGGGGTCAGGCCCCTGCATAGCCCCTCCAAAGCAGCTCATACAGTGGCCAGACCTCACAGCCAAACAGCCTGGGAGTCAACCTCAGCCATGGACATGCCAACAGTAACCAAGGCTCAACTATAAAGGAGGGCACACACAACCCACACAAGGGA